TTGAAGTTTCAGCCTCTGAGAATCCCATTTTTGTCAAGTATAACAGTTTACTCTCCTCATCAGAATCAGAATTCATGATTTCCTCGATATTAGAAGAACTATCAATATATGTGAAACCATCCTGAAAGATCGCTTCATAATCAGATGAGTTGTTATCAGAACCAACATGTTGCATGGGTGCGGATTTTGATGAGCTTGTACCATTGAATATGTAGTCTTGCTACTACATCAGATTACTGTTTGCATAAATTGGTTTCTCTCCCACAGAAAAGTATATTTAAGATATGGCCTTCACTGAAAGATGATAAGCCACTGTGTCAGCCTGGAACGGATTACCAAGCTATTTTTACTACTCTGTCTGATTAAATCCCTCTATATACAGAAAATGGTCAGTTCATTCAAAAGAGGCACATATCTCAGACGTTTCTGTCAAAATGATTGATTGTTCCTTAAGTCTGTGACAACGTGAAGAGGATTCCTCCAGTTACTTGACAACACTGCTGTTTAGTGACACCATAATGAGAGCCTTCAAGATAAACAAATTTGGGGCACGAATAAATCCACAAGTACCTACAACAGTGCATTGTCAAAATTGGACCTTGTTCAGATAATGATATTCAAGTCAAACAGACATTGAGAGTGAATCAGAAGCAGAATATTGGGGCATCTCGAAAGCCCATTTCAGACAGAAATGTTTCATGTGGGACATCTTGAGGGCCCATTTCAACCAGAAATAGAATATTAGGGCATTTTGAAGGTTCACAGCAATATGAATATTTGGGCATTCTTGGAGGTTCATCTCAATAAGAAGTAACATTGAGCATACTTTTAGCATCTATATCAGCAAATGTTGAGGCATTTTAAAGGTTCCTTCAGACAGATCCATGTGGGGCATTTTGAAGGCTCAGATTAACAAGAAGCAAATGTTGGAGCATGCTGAAAGCCCATTTCAATCGGAATCAGGAATGTTGATGCATTATGCATGCTTGTATTAGCAAATGTTGGGGCATGTTGAAGGCCCATATCATCATGGGTCAAGATCATTGACTTGAACAAATATTTCCAATGAGACATAAATATATGAAGATGAAAATGGTGATACAGTGACAGTCTAGCTGACTATACATAATTGCTTCGTTCATCAGGCAGTTACATTATGATCATGTTGTTGAACAAATGTTTACTCAGCAAGTATGTTTTCAAATACCTAATCTTCTTAACCGTATGTCACATGATAGTATGTTCTTTGTTAAGCTACATTACGGTTGCATGAATAAGATGGTCCCCAGGTAGACTACTCGTTCCAAGGTTCAGTTCCTCAAGATCTCAGCTTTAAATTTGGCCTTTTGTGTGTCAGTGATAATTGAAATATTTCTTTGAGGTTCCTGGCAGTTAGTTTCAACCATACTGTTGGGATTATGAAGTTGTTTTTCACATCAGTTTTTACTTGCTTGATGACATTCTTCTGAGACTTGACTCACTTACATTACTGTTATTCCCGTTGTTACTGGGGTCATTATTGCTAGCCAGGTAGAACTGAGTTTTTATCTATTTTGGGTTTTATCATGTGTGTTTCATCCCCATCAGCAAGAATTCCACGGATATCTTTCCATACATAGCTCTTATAGTGGGTGTTTTCTAATTCCTACAACGCTCATTACAGAAGAAAACGTGATCAATATCACACTTGCCCTTGCTCGAGATGATATTAAGATCAGTTGGTATCTTTTATTCAACTCGACACTAGCATATATCGTGAATTTGACCAACTTTTTGGTTATACCAACATCTCACTTATATCCCCACTGAGTTTTGTTCTCAAGTGATCTTGTGATATCATACAAAAACTTTGAACACTAGGCAAAGAGCTTCAATAATTGAGAAATCTGAGCAGAGTCCACAGCAAAGGATGAATGCGTTGTCAAATGTTTATGTCCCACAGAAAAGGATGAATGTGTTGTCAAGTGTTTTACATCTAAGCTGAAACCACATGAGATGAAGAATATGTTATCAAATGTTTTACGAACCAGTTATTCTGATGTTGAACCAATGTTGTGATCATATGGTTTCCATTTTTGATCCAAGATGAAGTTTGTCTTCTTCAACTTCAAGATTATAAGATGAGATATGATGAAGATTTTATTCCGCAGATGGAGAGCTGAAATTTTAACCACAAGAAACTAGTTAAATATGGAGACATATTATATGGTCCAAGTTGCTTTGTTCGAGATCCAATTAGATGTGGAGACATGAAAGGAATTGGAATAAATCCTCCTTGTGATATGTTTCAAGAGTCAAATTAGAACAGGCTCTACTCTCCTAATTAATCCTTGCTGAGTCAGGCATATCTACATCTACACTCTTCAAAGATGATAGATTCTCTTTTTAAAGATGACAGATTCTCTTTTCAAAGATGAAAACTTTATGGGATTTCTACACAAGTCCAAACAAATAAAGTTGGTTTTATCCAAGACAAAATGGGGCATTAAGGTCATAATTCTGACTACGACAAGAGTTCCACGAATAAAACAATTCTTCTGAGACTTTCATAAAGCAAAGAATACATAAAGATACAAGTTGATCAGATAGTTCTTCAGAAATGCAAGCTTGATAACATAAGTTGCTACACTGATATCCAGAGTTGACCCTGGCAATAAATGATGAAGTGGAGGAAAACCGAGTTCACCATTTTGAAGTCAAATGAAAAATTGCATCAACATTCATGCATCATATTTAGACATTTGCAAAATAGGAGCATTTTCATTCATTTTATCCATGTTAAAATTTGACAGGAATTTCAAAGATTTTAGCAAAGATATGAATTCATCATTCGATGATTCAGCATTACCAGTTCGAGTTCATAATGAGAAGAACTCATCTGAAGAAAAAAGAAGAAGTTCATAATGAGAAGAACTTGTTCAACTTTTCGCTTGAATTCATCATTCGATGATTCAGCATTACCAGTTCGAGTTCATAATGAGAAGAACTCATTTGAAGAAAAAAGAAGAAGTTCATAATGAGAAGAACTTGTTCAACTTTTCGCTTGAATTCATCATTCGATGATTCAGTATTTCCAGAAAAAGTTCATAATGAGAAGAACTCATCTGAAGAAGGAAGAAGAAATTCATAATGAGAAGAATTTTTTCAACCTTTTGCTCAAATCCATCTCTTGATGGATCAGCTTTTCCAGAGAAAGTTCATAATGAGAAGAACTCATCTGAAGAATGAAGAAGAAGTTCATAATGAGAAGAACTCATCTGAAGAAAAAAGAAGAAGTTCATAATGAGAAGAACTTGTTCAACTTTTCGCTTGAATTCATCATTCGATGATTCAGTATTTCCAGAAAAAGTTCATAATGAGAAGAACTCATCTGAAGAAGGAAGAAGAAATTCATAATGAGAAGAATTTGTTCACCTTTTGCTCAAATACATCACTTGATGGATCAGCTTTTCCAGAAAAGTTCATAATGAGAAGAACTCATCTGAAGAAGGAAGAAGAAGTTCATAATGAGAAGAATTTGTTCAACCTTTTGCCTGAATTCATCACTTGATGGATTAACTTTTCCAGAGAAAGTTCATAATGAGAAAAACTCATATGAAGAAGGAAGAAGAAATTCATAATGAGAAGAGCTTGTTCAACCTTTGTTTGATGCTATCACAGAAGGAAATAGATCAGTATCAGCATTTCCAGAAGAAGTTCATAATGAGAAGAGCTTGTTCAACCTTTTGCTCAAATCCATCATCTGATGGATCAGCTTTTCCAGAAAAAGTTCATAATGAGAAGAACTCATCTGAAGAAGGAAGAAGAAATTCATAATGAGAAGAATTTGTTCAACCTTTTGCTCAAATCCATCATTCGATGGATCGCATTTCCAGAGAAAGTTCATAATGAGAAGAACTCATCTGAAGAAGGAAGAAGAAGTTCATAATGAGAAGAACTTGTTCAACTTTTTGCTTAAATTCATCATTTGATGGATCATCATTACCAGTTAGAGTTCATAATGAGAAGAACTCATTTGAAGAAGAAGAAGAAGTTCATAATGAGAAGAATTTGTTCAACTTTTCACTTGAATTCATCATTCGATGGATCAGCATTGCCAGGTCGAGTTCATAATGAGAAGAACTTATCTGAAGAATAAGAAGAAGTTCATAATGAGAAGAACTTGTTCAACTTTTCACTTGAATTCATCATTCGATGGATCAACTTTTCCAGAGAAAGTTCATAATGAGAATAACTCATCTGAAGAAGGAAGAAGAAGTTCATAATGAGAAGAACTTGTTCAACCTTTTGCTTGAATTCATCATTCGATGGATCAACATTGCCAGGTAGAGTTCATAATGAGAAGAACTCATCTGAAGAAAGAAGAAGAAGTTCATAATAAGAAGAACTTGTTAAACCTTTTGCTCGACTCTATCCCAGAAGGATAAATCAGCATCAACATTTTCAGAGAAAGTTCATAATGAGAAGAACTCATCTGAAGAAGGAAGAAGAAGTTCATAATGAGAAGAGCTTGTTCAACCTTTGTTTGATTCTATCACAGAATGAGATAGATCAGTATCAACATTTCCATAAAAAGTTCATATAAGAAGAACTCATCTGAAGAAGGAAGAGAATTGTTCAACTTTTTGCTAGATTACATCACAGAAGAAGATAAATTGTCATCCCCAGCGAAAAAGTTCATAATGAGAAGAACTCATCTGAAGAAGAAGAAGTTCGTAATGAGAAGAACTTATTCAACACTTTGCATGACTCTATCACAGAAGGAGATAGATCAGCACCAACATTGCCAGAATGAGATAAATTGTCAATCCCAGTGAAAGAATTCATAATGAGAAGAATTCATCCTAAGTGAGCAAAAAGTTCATAAGGAGAAGAACTTATAGCTCAGAAGTTTAAACATTTCAAGCTAAAATGGTGTTTTATGTCTTTGCTCCATTCCTGTTCCACAGTAACGAGCAAAGAGGGCAGCTGTAATCACCATTTTTACCTCTCCATTCCAGCAACTCCACGTTGCAGCTACAAACAGCCTCCAGCAAGCCGGGACAGCAGCCCATCCACGCAGCAATTTCCAGCAGCCGCAGCAGCCCTCCACGCAGCATTTCCAGTAGCTTCCAGTGACAGCTGCCCCTCCACGTTGAAGCTATAGGGTGAGTCACCACCATAGTTTGGTGACTCACCGAACTCCCCCTTATTACCCGGTCCATGGAAAGCTTTGTGGTGGCTATAAAAGCCACCACCGAGCATGCAAAAAAAGAAGAGGGGAATGAACGGAGCGAGCAAGAAAAGAAAAAGGAGAGCAATCAAACAGAAAAAAAAAAAATAGAGTGAAGATACCGAGCAACTTACCTTCGTCGGAGCATCCAAATCAACCGGAAAACCACCAAAAAAACCGAAGGTAAAGATTTAGATCTACGGAGTTTGCGGTTTTTTTTAGAACAAGAGGAAGCCGGAATCGGATTTAGAAATAAAAGAGGATTTTTTGGGTAATTTTGTAAAATTCCGGCCACCGTGAACGGTGGCCGGCGACGATGACCGGCCGGTCACCGGTATTCTTCCGGTGAGGGAGCTCTAGAGAGAAGCTAGAGCTTCTCTCTCTAAGAGAGAAGCAAATGGAGAGAAATGATAATTTAGGCCATTTTGGCCTATTTATACCCTTACCAAACGACGTAGTTTTGGTGAGGGCCTCTGTGTAATTTCCGCATGGGGAAAACCATACGCATTATCCTCCTGATTTGATAGATTTATTTTAGTCACTAAATTAAGTTTTCGAGCATTTTAATTTTGTTCCTGAATTTATTTTATTATATTTTAGTCCTTTCCCGTAATTATGTAATTTAGGGTAAATAATATATTTAGACCCTGTAACTTTATTAATTTTTAATTCAATCCCGAATAATTAATATAAGATCATACTGTTAATACTTAGTTTTTATAATATTTTAAATTAGAGCTTTTAATTTTAATATGTTATAATTTAGTCCTTAATTTTAATACTTTCATTTATTTTACAAGTTTTATTACCGTTTATATTTAATAATATTGTATTTTAGTCGTTATTTATTTTATATGTTTGTATATTTAATTATTATTATGTATCATATAAATATATAATAAATAATATCTATTTGCTTATTTTTATATTTATATTAAATAAAATCATATTTAAAATTTTAAATTACTTTTAAGAAAATAATCATATTTTAATATTTTTTTTATATCAAGAAATGGGCTGTCTTAAAGCACCTAGAAGTCCTTTTCTGATATTCTTAAATAAATAAATATCATATTTTTATAAATTATATAAAAATATATATTAATTTATTTAATTATTTTTAGAAAGATGTTTTTTAATATTTATTTATTTTTTAATATTAAGAAAAGAGCTGTCTTAAAGCACCTAGAAGTCCTTTTCTGATATTTCTAAATAAATAAATATTTTATTTATAAATATATTTAAATTAATATATTTCTTCATAATCATAATTTGAAATAATAGGATTATAAATTAATATATTTGAATTTTTAAATTCTAATAAGAGACAATTTATAATTAAAAAGTACCAATTTTGGGCGTTGTAGGGGTGCTAATCCTTCCCTAAACGTAACCGACCACGAATCCCTTTTTATTATTAAAAAGAACGAATTTTTGGTTAAAACGCAGATCAATTTATCTTTTAACTGATGTTTTCTTAAAAACTCTTTTAAAAGATAATTTTTTTAGGTATTCGACCTACCTGATCCAAAAGGCCGATGGCGACTCCCAAATTATTTTCAAAACCATTTATTCACATCAATTTTCTCGCCAAATAAATATTTCGTGCCCGGACGAAAACCGGTTACGACAGGTGTGTTGGCTTCTCTTAAAACTTTGTCTTTGCGGAACTGTGGCATGAATGGGACGTTACCTACCCTAGGTAAATTCATCATGAACTGATCTTGGGGAGTGACTAATGATCATATGTCTTTTATTGGAATAACTTCCATAATTCTGCTATACAGGTTGGTGTGATTTGCGGAAGCTTAAGGCACTGGTTCTTAGTCAAAATGTACTTGAAGGAGCACTACCTTCATGTATGGCCAACTTATCATCTCTTCGGATTTTGGATCTTTCCGATAATCGGTTCACCGGTGATGGAGCCTCCTCCACTCCCCTAGGCAATCTCACATTGCTTAGGTTCGTTTCTCTTTCAAGAAATCTTTCCATCTCTTTTCAAATCATTTGCCAACCACTCACACCTCAAAATACTGGGTAGTGATCAAAACAAATTCGTAAATGAGCCAACCTCCCAGACTTGGGTTCCCAAGTTTCAACTAAAAGTCTTCCGTATATGGAATTGTGAAACAAGGGAACTCCACAACGAGCTTCCCAAGTTCCTGTATTACCAAAATGACCTTGGTTTGTAATCTTTCATATAATAATCTTGGAGGAAAGTTTCCTTCTTGGTTGTTGGAGAACAATACAGGATTAGAGTTATTTGTGATACAGGGCAATTCCTTTACGGGCCCTCTGGAGCTGCCGTCTATCCCAAATCCAAAAATGTTCTCTTTTGACATATCCAACAACAATATTCATGGTGAAATCCCAACCAATATTTGTACAATATTTCCAAGGATAAGACATTGAACTTGTCTGGCAATATCCTTGAAAGTAATATTCCTCCTTGCTTGGGTAATCTCAACACTGACGCTTTTTATTTAGATTTGTCATTTAATCAGTTGTCTGGAGGAATACCAGAAGAGATAGCCAAATTTGGCTCGTTACAATTTCTTAGACTATCGAATAATCGTCTGACCGGAAAAATACCCCCTATCATCTTCAGCTTCAAATCATTGAACATGTTGTATTTAGATGGGAATAACTTTGATGGAGGAATACCTACTATTGATAGTTCAACTGTCCTTTTATCTCCTCTTTGGGCTTTGGATTTAAGTAATAACAGTTTGTCTGGTGAGCTCCCAGGATGGATATGGAATATGTCAACATTGATAACATTAGCTTATCTGATAATCAACTTAAGGGTCCCATTCCGATGGAATTGTGCCATTTGGATAACCTCGAGCTTTTGGACTTTTCACACAATAATTTTTCTGGCTCAATACCTTTTGCTTCAATTCACAACCCATCAGACGTCTCCATTTGAGCAACAATAGATTAAGTGGCACCTTGACAAGGGCATTTGTTATTAGCACGTCATTGGTGACTTTAGACCTAAGTGAAAACCACTTAACAGGTGAAATTCCTTATTGGATTGGTAACTTTTCTGCTTTGAGCATCCTCCTTCTGAAAGGCAATTATTTTACTGGAGAAATTCCCATTGAGCTATGCAAAGTGTACTCATTAAGTATCATAGATCTTTCTCACAATGAGCTTTACGGTCCAATACCTTCTTGTTTGAGTTATTTAACTCTTGAGCCAAATGAAAATAAATCTTCAGCATCAACAAATGATATCAGCGGTTTTTCTGTAGTACTTGAGGGAGCTGATTACTTTGGACTGACGGAATTTGAAATGGTCGATCTAGAAGGTTACAGGCCAGCCATTGACTTTCCGGAAACAAAGGATCTAAGGGTAGAAAGGGTGGTTTATTCAACAAAGAGAGGATCTTATACATACAAAGGAAACATTCTTGAGTATATGTCTGGGATTGATTTATCATGCAACAGATTAACTAGTGAAATCCCTCTTCAGTTCGGAAACTTGAGTGAAATCCGTTCCTTGAACTTGTCACACAACAACTTGACTGGATACATACCATCAACATTCTCAAAGCTCAAGCAAATTGAGAGTCTGGATATTTCCCACAACAACCTAATTGGAGAATCCCTATTCAATTGACAGAGTTGTACACCTTAGAAGTCTTCAATGTGTCATACAACAACTTGTCAGGAGTATTCCATCTCAGACAGCTCAATTTGGGACCTTCGATGAAAGCAGTTACGAGGCGAATCCTTTTCTCTGCGGACCTCCCCTGCACAAAAGTTGTGACAGGCCTGATTCACGCCCAACAACACCAAATCCCTCGGACGACGAAGAAGAAAGCGGTTTGATGGACATGTACGTTTTCTGGGTGACCTTTTCTGTTTCTTATGCTGTTGTGTTACTGGTTATTGCAGCCATCCTGTACATTAATCCATATTGGCGTCGAGCTTGGTTTTATTTTATTGAACGCTGCATCGAGACTTGCCGGTATTTATTGAGGACAATCTTCTGCGATTTTCCATCTTCAGAAAAAGCAAGTAGCAGCATTGTGCTTTGATGGTTTACATAGGTTTGTGTTCGTTTATTAAGCTTCTGTTTCAACTTATCTACTTTATATAGTTTTAAAATATCTTTGTTCTCTTATAATTGCTAGTATTTGTGAAAACTACATATATTGTCATGCAATTTCAACTAAAACATCGATTGCGCTTGTATATGGTGGTTTATATTCTATACATTATATTTATATGCATCAACACTTACAGATTATAAGAATAGCATTGAATTGAAACGGGCATCCAAGTATTTCTTGTTTTAAGTTTTTCTATGCTTCTAATCGGCAACTACCTCATTAACTGTTTTATACAAACTTGAATATATATATATATTATCCCAGAAAAATGCTGTCATGTTATACAAACTTGATTGATAATGATATTAAATTAGTTTTTATACATGTAAAGACCCCCCCCACACACACACCCCAAAAAAAAAGAAAGAGAAAAAGAAAGTATCAATTAAATTCATATTGACATATAAGATTTTGACTTGCATGTGAGGCCAGTATGACATTGCAATTTCGTCATTGATTACTCCTCTCAATCTCAAGAACATGCACGTTCATGCTAAAAAGATGCATCTTGCATGTCAATGTGGTAGGAAAACCCTACTTATTGGTGTGTGTTTTACTATATTTAAGTGTTAAGCCCTAATTTAAAACCTATGAGTTGATGATAAGCACATGTCCTTCTGAGTAGGAAGGGGCGAGAGATGCTAAAAGAATAACTACATTTTCTGAAAATTTTAAATTATTATAATTTAAATATCTTTTTATATTTTATATTGATAATATAATATTGTAACTCCTGAAATTCTATAATTTCATATCCCTGACATAATCCTACGCCTATCCCTCCTACCGCATCCCAATTTGTAAAGAAATTGTCAACTACAATCCCACAACCAAACTTTTCAACGAGTTTCTCATTTTTCCAACTGATCAAGTTTGGATGTAAATTCTTGTTGTTGGGTGATTGTCCAAATTCCAGATAATTCTCATATCCATATTCAAATCAAGCCCAACTTGATTCGTCAATTCATTTTTAGTCTATTTATATTGAATAGGTTAAACGATCAAATAAGAGTAACTTTTTAAGGATTGCTTAAAGAAAGAACTTAACCTTTCGCAAAGATAAAAAAAATATAAGATTTTATAATCTACAAAATATTAAACATCTAACTTTTTTAAAAATATTTTCAAATAAAGGCTCTTATTGAGCATAATAGAAAATATTAGACCCTTATTTGAATAAATTGAAAAAAATGTTAGGCTTTTATTTGACATTTTTGTAAGACTATACCCTTATTAGAACATATTCGAAAATGTTAGAATCTTGTTCGGTTGTTCTAAAAGGTTAGACTCTTATATGAAGGGTGCTAAAATATTAGACCCTATGAATATTAAACCCTATTAAAGATAAAAGGCTAAATAGGTCTTTCCCCTTGACTTTAGGGTAAAATATATATATTGGCTATATATATAAGTACCTAAAGTATATTATTTTTTCATTTAAGTACCTAAAGTATCTTTTGGTCAAAATAAGTACCTAAACTATCTTTTTTGGTCAAAATAGGTACCTAAAGTATTCAATTTTTTTTATCTAAGTTCTAAAAAAGTTGACATGTAATATTAATTAAAGATCTAGTGCCTATCATAGCGAACATTAAAAACTTCCCACTGCGATGCATACGGTACTCGAGACATTTCCATCCTCTCTTCTTCACTGCTAGGACTCATACTGGAGGATAATTTGAAGTAATAGGAAGAGGGGTAGAAATTGGCTTACAATCTTGCAAGCTGAATCGTGACAAGATCTTCTTCAAGTAATTCTTTTGTGAAAGCCAAATCTTCTATTACTTCTGTCTCGATGAATTTACATCCCTAGAATCTTGTTTGCTGGGTCCCAAGCCTCATTTCAAATTCCCTAGCTAGTTGCGCCTTCAATTCTTCAATATGATCTTGTTGGGTCCTGCAACCAACATGTCATCCACATACAACAACAATATAACAAAATTGTTATCACCAGACCTCTTGAAATAAGCGCAAGGGTCTGCATTAAGTATGTTGTATCCAAGGCACATAATGAAGGAATCAAATCTCTTATACCAACACCTCGGCCCTGCTTTAGACCGTATAGAGATTTGTTTAACCTGCAAACCAAGTTCTTCTTTTCTTCTTTTCAAAACCTTCAGGCTGGAGCATATAAATTTCTTCTTCAAGATTTCCCATGAAGAAAAGCTGTTTAACATCTAGCTGCTCTAGATGTAAATTCAATGTAGCACACATTGCCAAAACTACTCGAACTGTTGTTAGTCGAACCACAGGAGAAAATATTTCATTGAAATCAATACCTTCTTTTTGAGCATATCCTTTGACTACCAGTCTTGGACGATACCTCTAACTTGATCGTCACCATTTCGCTTGATTTGAAGACCCATTTGTTACCAATTGGGCTTCCTTCCTTGTGGTAGTGGCACAAGGTCCATGTATTATTTTTATGAAAGGCTCGATTTCTTCTTGCATCGCCATCATCCACAGTGAAGCATCTGAGCTGTTTATTGCCTCCTGGTATGTTGATGGCTCCGTCATCTGTTAAAAGGCAGTATGCAACATTTTCTTCTATAATATAATCTGAGTGTCAATTGGGATGTCTTCTCACACGATCTGATTGACGAGTTGTTGGAGCTTCAGAACTCTCTGGTTCTTGTTCATCATGTGCTGGTTCTACTTCAGAAGAATCTCCTTGTTCAACCTCTTTTTCCACATGTATCTGTGTAGTCTCTGATTTTCTGCTATCATCATCTTCTTTCTTTTTAGTTTATCTTCTACAAAGATAACATCGCTGCTGATGATCACTTTGCGGGCAGTAGGATCCCACAGCGATACCCTTGACTCCATCAATATACCCCAAGAATTTGCATTTCCTGGATTTTGGATCCAGCTTTGAGATTTCTTAGGAGTTGCACATCACGTACACAATACTTCCAAATACATGGAGATTTGAATAATCAGCTGGTTTACCAGTTCACATCTCCATTGGGTCTTCAGCTCTATTGCAGTTGATGGAGCTCGATTCACCAAATAACAGGCGGTTTGACTGCTTCTGCCCAGAATGATTTTTCTAGGCCTGCATCCCTCAACATTGCTCTGTTCTTCTAACAAGGTTATGTTCATCTGCTCTGCCACTCCATTTTGTTGAGGAGTGTTCGCCACTGTGACTGTCTTTTGATGCATTCTTTCCTGCAAAAGTCATCAAATTCTTCGCTTGTGTATCTCCTCATTATCTATTCTGAAACACTTGATCTTATTTCCACAATCAAGTTCCACCCGCGCCTTGAAGTTTTTGAAAGTTGAAAACACATATGACTTCTTCTTAATAGGGTACACCCAACATCTCCTGGAGTAGTCATCATAAATGACAAAGTATTTTGCTCCGCCTAGGGATATAACTGGTGCTTGCCATACGTCAGAGTGAACCAATTCTAGAAGCCTCTAGAATTTGATGTTGAATTTCAACCGGTGCTGCTTACTTGTTATGCAATGCTCACACAAAGTAAGTGATACATTCGTTAAGCCTGGAAGTAGCTTTTGCTCCACAAGGACTTTCATTCCTGTTCTGACATTGTCCAAGTTTCTGATGCCATAGCATTGGAGAATCTGAACTACATGAGGCAACAGAGGCTTCTGCTTCTAACAAAGTCTCCCCTTCAGCATGTATAAGTTTGCTGCTATCTTTTCGCCTTTCAGTACCACAAGCGCACCACAGAACACCTTCATGATTCATTTCCGTGTTTCAATTGCTTGCATTATTATCCAACAATCCGTAGGATAATAAATTTTTCTTCAGGCCTTTCACGTGCCGCACATCTCGAACAACTTTGATTGTTCCATCACACATCTTCAATTTGATGGTTCCCACGCCAATGATCTCTAAGGCATGATCATTGCAACTATACACAGATCCTCCTGAGACAGGTTAATGATGGAACCATTCTCTTCTTGAGGTCATGTGGTTGCGCTCCGAATCAATGAGCCATATCTGCAAATTTTTCTGCCTTCCACGGTGGTTGAAGCTTCACAGCATAGAGCATCTCCATCATCTGAAGTGTTTGCGGTATTGCCTTGTGGATTGGAGTTTTATTTAAACTCCAACAATCCTTCTTCAAGTGACCATTCTTTCCACAGTGTAGCACTTTAAATTCTTCTTGCTCCTCGACTTCGATCTACCATGTTTGTGACTGCTGCTTTGGCCATGTTCTGTTGATCTCCCTCTCGTTGTCAATGCTTCTGTTTGTTGCAGATTTACTTGTCTATCTTCCTTGTTCTTGCGCGATTTTCTTCTTGTAGACACAGCAGCAAGCGTCATCGAAGACTACTGGTGACATTATTGTTTGTCAAGTTGATGATGAGTTGATCACGAATCGATAGACTTTGAAGTAGAAGTTCAGCACGTTCTTGTTCTACTATTTTACAGCTTAAGGATGTAAGCTGAGAAAATAAAGTGTTCAGTGTGTTTAAGTGCTCCGTCACTGAAGTAGATTCTGACATCCGGAGAGTGTACAATTTTCTTCAGGAAAATTTTATTGTGCAGCGATGTGGCCTCGTATAATTTGGTGAGATGATCTCATATCTCCTTAGCTGTCTTTTTCCTTGATGCTTGACAATACTTCATCTGCTAATGCTAGATGAAAGTTTGCCATAGCATTTCTGTCCATTTCGATCCCATTTGTGTCATCTGCAAAATCCACCGGCCTTTCATTGATAGCCGCTAGACACCCGTCTTTCTCAGGATGGCCTTCATCTTTAATTTTCACAATGAGAAATTTCTCTCATTGAATTTTTCAATATCAAATTTCGTTGTCATATCTTCAATTACGGATAGCTCCCCTATTCACTATCGTGAATAGTTCTGGAACCTTCAAAGAATGAGTAATACCTTCTTACTTTCTTGTTGGAGGATCCACATTTGGTGGCAACCACAAAGATAATAAGCAGATATTACATACTCAAATCCGGCTCGGATACCAATTG